GCAGACTACTCATGAATCGTTACACATTCAATTTGGTACCGGATTCAAATCTCATCCTTAATCACAAAATTTTTTAGTATAATATTCTTATTCACATAATTATCTGGTAACAAAGAATGATAATAAAGTATCTGAAACTATATATTCTATGCATATATGACACTATTTTAGTAACAACATTTTTTTAAACAAAAAGTAACAACTTATATATATGAAAGTTTGTGATATGTGTAAGGTTTTGTGATTTAATTTCATTAAATAACACTTTCTAATATGTAATTTTCATTCAATAGCACTTTCTAATATGTAATTTTCCACTAAAGATGGCAACAATGCAAGAATATATTTAAGGAGATAAGTTATAAATACAAGAGAGTATTTAGCAATAGCCAATACTCCCTCCGTTTTATAATGTTAGTCCCATATACTATTTTAGGCATTTCAAAAAGATCTACTCATATTGAATATATTCCGTTTTTAACTCAGTCTTTACTTCCTATTTTATAAATATTAAATTCTGATTGGTTACTTTAATTGATTGTTAATTAATGACATGACTCTAAGTAAGGAATTTTCTCCCATAAATTATGCAGTTATGATTGATGCTTTCCAATAAAAAATCAAAAAATTTAAATAAGGCAAAATAATTATGAATTGTTTTTGTACTTTAATGTTAGATTCTAAATGTTCTTCTTTTACTATTTTATATAATTGATTCCATATGGGACTATCATATAGAAATGGAGGGAATATTAATTTGTGTATAAACTTTCGTGATTTTATTTTAACCCTTAATTATTTAATTTAAAACCTTTAACGAATGAATTAAACCTTCCAATATATGAATTAATCCGTACAACACTTTATAATTGTATAAGTGTATCCAACACCTATTTAATATTGCATAATTACTTTACATGTAATATATATAATCAGTACTTTTTTGGTAAGTTTGAAATTTTTTTAGTAACGAAAATGATAAAATACTAACACTTGTTGATAATATGACAAACTATAGTAAGGTTTAAATTGTCCAACTTTATAATATTTTCGAACATATATTGATATGGATGTCTAAACAAAGTTCATTAAAAAATTATTTTATTAATATTTTTATAATAATTTTTTGATTTGTTGATTGTAAAATATCGTCAAATGAAGTATGATATGATTATTATAAATAACATCTCTCTTCATTAATTAATGGTGCTAACTAGGACGTCATTTTCTCTAGTAACAAAATCATATTTTTTAGTAACGTAAAATATTTTGTTAGTAACAAGAATGACTAATTGGCGGCAATGAAATTTTATCCCGCCTTTTTCTAGTAAATGGCGCCAGAAACCAAAAATTTTCCTTCTCAATTTTCCCTCTCATTTTTTAAGCTAATGACGTGTTGTCAATTTTTAAATGGTGTTATATGTTTGGTTCATTTAAAGGTAAGCGATCAATAACTTGCTTTAACCACAAACGATATTAATAAAAAGGTAAGCAATCTAAACGAACAGGTTAAACAAGTTCAACTTGCTTTAACAAACAAAGTTAGGCATCAATTTGGAAAAGAAGTATCACCTGATAAAGAGAAAATCGTCCCATATAAATATAAATATCCTTTTCAAAATCTAGATAAAAATAAAAAGTTTACTGTAACACTCCTTAAAAGACCTACTAGTAACCAAGAAAAAGAATAAAGAAACTAAACATGAGCCCTCATCTTTAGGAGAAAACGCTAAATGAATTACAAGTCCTATTCGATAAAGAAGAAGACCCTAATAAGCTTAACGAAATCATGAACTTAATTTCTAAAAAAGGGATTGCTTATGATAATGAAATAAAGGAAAATAATTATGCTACTTTAGAGGAAGTTTTATATCAACAAATGAGATTAATGAAGTTAAATGATCTAGACTTTCTACCCATAGAAATTATTCAACAAAAGATCGAAAACAAACTAGGTAAAAGAGTAATGGATAATAATGATGTTGGAGAAGAAATTATTAATGATAATATTAATGTAAACAATGTTATCCAAAGATCTAGGTACCAAGGAGAAGGAAGTTGCACACGACCAAGATACATACCAGGGAAGACTACCCGGTTTAGTGTCAAGGTTATGCCTACTCATATACCTAAACAAGAAGATGTGACTCTTGAACTTATAAGTCAAACTGGTTATAAACTTTAATTAGACGGTGTAAGAGATAGACAAGACGTTTAGATCAATGGAAGAAGAGTATGAGTAGTGTACTTAATTTAAATATTGAATGGACTTCAGAAAATTTCTTAAATTACATCGAACATAGTGATCTCTATGGCTGTGTAGAAGAAATTATACATAGATGAAGAAGTTAAAACTGCACTAAGAGCTAGTGAATCACCTATTAGAATGTTTAGGCAGTTATGTCAATATATTGAGTTAGAGGTCATTGGTCCTAGAGCCGATCCTAATGAGAAACGAATGGAATATCAAAGAAAGTTAAGTAATTTGTCCATATGTAATATGAAATATGTTGATGATTACATTATGGAATTTGAAACATTTTATTATAAAATTGGTAAAAATGAAACAAATCTTGGAATGTTTTGTGACAAATTACCGAGTCCTCTTAATGAAGAAATTAGTGAAAAATATCAAGGATGGAGAGAGAGATTCTTAGCTAGGGATGTCCTAGGTAACAGAATTGCTTTCCTAAGAAAGTGGATTGAAAAGAAGTGTAGAGAGGTTGCAGGAACTCAACAAATGAAGAGACAATTTCTCACTTGTTGGGATTTCCTAAAAACTATAGATGTGAAAGAAAAAACTATAATAAAAGAAGGAACTATAAGAAAAATAAATTTGTCCGATCAAGAGGAGAAACTTATAAGAAGAAGTATTATAAACATAAATATAGAAAACCAAGTAGGTTTTTCAGAAAGACAACATATTGTCCTGAGAAAAAGAAAACATGCAAGTGTTGGTCTTGTGGAGAACTAGGACATTATACTAATGAATGTAAGAAAGCTAATCATAAACTAATGGAAGCCTTAGGAAGTTGGGATTACATAGAAATACCAAAATACGAGGCTTTAGAATTGGCTTTAAGTATCAATAAAGGAATAGTAGAAATCATAGAAGAGGAAAATGAGTATAATGAAGAACCTGAAGTTATTGATGAGTTTGAAGATGAAAATTATGAAGAAATAAATAATGTGATGGAAGGACAAGAGTTAGAAAATTCAGAATCAGATGACAATGAGGAAGATAATGGCAAAATGACAATAGGTCAACTAAAGAGAGCTGAGTATTCATTTGAAGATAACGACCTAGATCAAGTAAACAAAGAAAGTTGAAAATTTCCCCAGATTATTAAAGATAAAATATTTAAAACTTCTTTCTTTAAAACTAGAACTAAATATGTATGTGAAGAAATGGAAGGAAGCATAGTAATCGAAGATTGTGAACAAAAGGCAGCCGAAATTAATATCATAAACTGAAAAAGTATTAAAAAACATAAAGAAAAAGGAAATTATAGCTATATTTGTATTGGTGCAGTACAAGTATACATAACTCCTTTGCAACATTTTGGCAAAGATGTTAAATGCTTTACTTTTATTTGTGATATTAGACATAAAGAATTTTATAATCAAATAATTAGTGGAATCACATGTAACCTAAGTCAAGGAACAATAAGCTATATATGTGAACCTAGATATTATGTGAGCTTAGAGGATTCCTTTGCTTCAAAGTATTTAGCTATCAAGCTATTAACAGAAGGAGTGAAAATGCATAAAGGAACACGACCCATACAATTAAGATGGAAGGTGGTTTATAAGTTAGTAAACACTATAGATTCATCTTTTAAGAAATAATAGTCGATGCTCAGAAATATGAGCAAGGAGGAGGTCCTAAGAAGAAAATTACACCTATAAAAGTAAACCCTAATGAAATTGAAATTGAAAAAACTTGGGAGGAATTCTTTATGAACCCTGCAATTAGTAATAGATCAAGTAAGATGTTAATTGATGAATCAGGATTACTTCATATTGGAATGAATACAAAACCTAAAATACAGAGAAATCTAAGTCTTAGAACACCAAGTCTAAGTAGACAAAATTCAACAATAATAAGAATGAAAAAACAAGGTGATGAAAAGCTAGAAAAGGATGAAGAAGAAATATTAGTCCTACTAAAGAAACTAAATGAAAAATATGAAAGTAAAAAAGCCTTGAAACAACCAACAAGGCATAGCATTGATATGAGATCATATTCTAATTTCGAGTTAAATGAAGATCCAAATAATTCTATTAATAAAAGGAAGGTAATTGGATATAAAACCAAAACTGTGAGTGAACAAGTATATGAAGATGAAGTTAATATGCAAATGGAAGCTTGTAATGAAATATCCAGTACTAATCCTAATAGCATTTATATTCCAATTGATATATGCATTGAGGATTATAATAAATATAAATTATGCACATATATTGATAGTGGTTGTTCTACATGTTTTGGAAAGAGATCATTATTTCCAGAATTCTTGTGGAAAAAGGCCAAAAATCCTATGCAAGTTAGAATTGCTAATAATAGTGTCATGATGCATACAGAGATAATTGAAGATTTAAAAATAGAAATTGGAGGAGTTCAATGTGTTATTCCTATTTTATGGGCAATTGATCAGCTTAGTCATGATATGATGATAGAAAATAATTTTCAAAGGTTATACTCTCCATGCACTCAAAGTATTGATCAAATAATCTTTACTATTAATGGTCATTTTGTTCCAGTGCAGAAAATAACAAAGTCTTATACTCATCAGACAAAGAAGAGTACCATCTAAGCTTAACTTGGTTGTTGTTGGTATACCATCCACGTTAAAATCAGCACCAAACCACTAAAGACAAAAGTGTTGATTATAGTACATTTGGTCCCCACTTGGTAGAGACCAAAGTGGTCTCAAGTAGGTAGAGACCAAGAAAACCTGATGTGTATCACCTCCATCCCTTGTTTTATGGGAAGTTGAAATTCCCATAAATTTCCACTTCCCATTTTTTTTTTTTTTTTTGTGTCAACTAAACAACTCTTCATTTTCTCAAATCCCGTGTATTTCCACTTCCCTCATTTTATGTTGTCAACCAAACAACTCCTAGATGACATGACATGGTCTACATGACACAAAGACGTTCTTAGTAACGCCTTTTAATAGATCCCTTCCCCTTCAAAAGTAGGAAGTTGTCAAACATGAAAGGAATAGTGTTATGAGTGTGTAGTCAATGAAATTTACTGTTCATAAGCTTGGCAAAAGTTTGGAAGTTTGAGATTGTTGCATTTTGGATGCAATTTCATTTAATTTGTTGAGTCACTAAATTATACTTTATCCCATTTTCCTCCCTTCCATTCATTTTCCACTCTTTCTCTGTGTCTCTTTTCCCGATTTTAGGCACTTCCATTTATTCATAGATGATAAAAAAAAAAAAAAAAAAAAAAACTTCGCTATCTCTCTCCTCCTGCTCTCTTTATTTCTCCATCTCCATCTCCACCATTGAAGCTATACTCTGAGTTTACCATCTCCATTTCCAATGCAACTTCATTTTTTCAGATTCCTCATTTTTTTCTATTCTCTATATTCTCATTTTTTTTTCCATTGGGTGTTGAGTTATGTTGCTTCTATGGCGGATGAGGATTTCGGTCGGCATTTCCATTGAATCAGCATTTCTTCCAAGTAGCGTTACTTCTTTATGATCATCGAGTATTAATTTGACAATTTAGGGTTTAATTTCATATAGTGTTTAATTTCCTGTATAATTTATACATATAGAGTAATTTGAAAATAGTCTAACTGACTATTCATTATTGCTTTTTTATGGGTTTGCTTTGAGCTAATATATGTAATTTGGATGACTTATGGGTTTGTCTTATCTTTGATGTTGTTTTTTGGTTGCATACGTTGAAATTCTCTAGAATTTTTAAATTTTCTATGATAGTGTAAGATTTTGCAAATATTTAGGTGGTCTTAATTTGCTGAAAATTCTTCTTTGGGAGTGTTTGTATTTATTAATTTCTTCTGAATTTGTGGTTTAATATGAAAATTTAAGATCAAGTTTGGTGGAAAACAGGTTACGGAGTATGCAATTATTGTCTCCTCTGACTTATGCGAATCTTACTGATAGATTTTTATGGTTTTGATAACTTGTTTTAATTTCATTTATAAATTTCAATTTAGAATGTCTTGAAAAAACTATTTGAATAACTGGGTTGTAAAGTGTGCTTAAGTTTATTGAGAATTGGCTATTCTTGTGTATCTTATCATATCGAATGTAGGGAGAGGTGGTTTCAGTGAAGTGGTGCATTCAATTTGCAAAGTGGTGAAGAAAATTATTTTTCTAAGATTTGTTTGGATTCTTAACAGACTTTGTATATGTTTAAGCAATTTGTCTTTGAATGTGACTTTGTTATTAAATATGAAAGGTTCTCAGTGTCAGTTAGATTTCTTTATTTGATAGGAAGAAATAAGTTAAATTTGGTAATACAACATGGATGAAAGGTTCACTTGCTTATTCTTTGTAAACGTCTTCAGGCAAAAGCTATGAATGATGCTTGCTGCTCTTACTGCAACCTATGCCAATTGTTTAATGTCGTTATAAGTGGTTTATTTTAGGTTTTGGGATTTCGGGGTAAAATGGAAAGTAACTCAATTAGGGTTGTATAATTTGGATCATCGATTGAAAAAAAAGAGTAATTTTTTGTTTTGGTTCAATAAAAAAATGTATGATTTATAATGAGAATGATGATTTGGGTTTGCAAAGGTAGAAAAGTAGATTTAAGTTTGGAAAAATTGAGTTTGATTGGTACTTTTCATGTGGATTTTAGTTGAAAAGGTATCTTTTAATTCTATGTTTTCTAAATGTTTATTGAAGGATTTGGAAGGTTCAAAGTTCAACCAGGAGCAGAGTAATAATGAGGGGCTTGACAGACTTGAAGATAGGCATGTTAGAGCTAGAGGAAGGTCTGAAGAAAGATCTGCTTTTGTGAGTGAAGCTTCCAAAAGGACTAAGTTCAGCTTCGGCAGTGATGACAAGAAAGGTGTGAGTTCTTATATAATTTTCCTCTGCTTAGGCTGTTAGTCCTTGTCTTTTTAAGTTTCTTAAAACATTAAAATTGTCGCAGATGAAAGGCAATCATCAGGTTCAAAGCAAAGTGAGGATTTTGCGGCTAAAGTATCACCTGAGCAAGGTCTTGTTTCTGGTGATCAATTTGCTACAAGCGAGGATGCTGCTAAAGTTGCTGCCATAAAAGCTGCTCAATTAGGTAAGTGCAAATCTTTGAAGCAATTTGTAGAACTTGAAGTTATACCAAGTAACATTAAGGAAGTTTTGTGAAAATTTAGGCTTAAATTATAATTAACATTGGCTTGGACTATTTATGGGGCATTTGTTTGTTACTAATCCGTAAACCCTTAATCATTATCTTTGAGCCTTGACATTTGGCATAATAAGGAAATTATAAAATACGGATGAGTCATATTAAGGTAGTTTAACATAGCTGGCAATTGTTCCTAGTCTCATGGTTGTTCCATGCTTTTCTGCCTTTGTCCTAGAGCATTTCTTTTCTAACTGTAATTTCTAAAGTATGAAACACTGCATCCATTTTTTATGATAGGTGGATTGTAGTGTAAGTAAACTTTTTCTGGCAAGGGAAGTAGGTTGTTTATGTATGCCAAAAAATATAGCTTATTTTTGTTATACTTGTATACTGCTATGTGTTTTTTTAGAAATTTAGCTGTAAATGGTGTTATTGAATGCAGTTAATCAGAACCTTACAAGTACGGGGTTCATGACTGTTGATCAGAAAAAGAAGCTACTATGGGGAAATAAAAAGAGCACCACTACTGAAGAGGTACTTCTCAATTTTTTTTTTTTTTTTTTTTTGTCAAGATTTCTTGGCTTCTGCTTTTGTAAATTTTTTATTTTAAATTTAAGGTGCTGGGATTTTGGGAGAAAATAAATAAAAACTTGATTTGGGTTGTATAATTTGGATCATTGGTTGAAAATAAGAACAATTAGAATGATGGTTTGGGTTTGCAAAGGCTGGAAAATAGGATAAAGTTTGGAAAATTTGAGCTCAAATTGTACTTTATATGTGGCTTTAACTTGAAAATATCAATTTAGAATTGCTTTGATTGGGGGAGAGAAATTGTGTTTGTTGATAGGTTTCAAAATTTTGGGAAATTTCAACTAATTTGCAATTCCGAAATTGGTTTATGATTGGGAGTTTAAGTTTGTGATCTTTTAGAAACAGTTTGTTTATGTTTTAAACATTTTAATTTGTCTAATTTCAATCTAGAGAGTTGTCCAACTTGGGGGAGTGCAAGTGTGTATATTATTGGTTCATGCTAGAGAGTGTGTTTGATGCTGAAATTGAGAGGATATAACAATCTGTTTTAGATACTGGATCTCTCTTAAGACAATTTGTTTATTGTAGTAGATCAAATTTGCTACATCTAATTTCAGTTTTCGAATATCTATGTTTATAAATTTGTTGATTTTATTTTATTGTATGAAATTCAAGTTTTTTTATTTACAGATTAATGTTATTGAAAATGCAATTTTGTTTATATTTTAGCTACCTCACACTCTTCATCATCATTTCACAAGTATACAACTACAAAATTAAGAATAATATTAGCTTCTATAGAAATTTGATGTCAAAAACTTTGTCCTCCTCATTCTTAATGTGTCTCAAGTCACTAACTATGGCCTTTTCTTACTTGTGACGACCTAGGCGTGTCCAGTAGTCAGTACTCAATAGTCAATACTGATTGATGCTGCTTGGTTATGATTCAATCCTAGCCATTATGTTTCCTGGTTATTGCTAAATTATCAAATCTGGTTCCCTTGTTTTGATGGGAACTATTGTGATAGCAGATTGACAATCACATGGATGTCAAACCTGTCAAAACAACTAAAGTTGAAGAGAAAGAAATCGTCAAGGTAGAAGACAAAGGTGTATTTGTGGGTATCATTAAAGATGAGTAAATGAAGCCAAAGATGAGAACGGTCCGACATGTGGAATGAGATGAATTTTGCGTTAGAGTCTTCCAAGGTATATGACTGGCAGTATTCTTTGATTTTTTTCTCCTTGCTCTAAGGGATTACTTGCTATTATATGTTATTTTCTTTCCTTTTCTTTCTATTATCTATGGTTGCAATGAAGGGAACTAGATTATAGACAATCTTATAAATAAACCTTACAGTCCAATTAGCCATTTTAATTGTTATTTCTTTTAGTTATTGTAGAGGCGACAAGATTTACACAAAGATGTATGGACAATTATGGGCTAATTTTATAAGCAATGAGCATAGTAAAAAAAATATACCTTAAGGTTGATCTTTGTAGTGCTCAGTCACATGCTCACACCTTATAACTGATTATGAGAACGATCTTACACCTGATTTTGATTATGAGACTGATCTTTGTAGTGCTCAGTCACAAGCTCACATTTTTAGGCTTTATAGCTGATTATAAGAACAATCTTACACCTTATCATTATATTGCTCTGCGCCTCTGCTTTGTCAAATTTTAGGGCACATATTACTCAACCTAAAAATTAAACTTAGCTAGAAATTGCATGTCCTGATGTTAACTTATATCAGAACTTCAAGACTAATCTAACCCAAATCAAAAACCATTGTGACTTATACTTCTTCACTTGTCTTGAATATGTTATTGTCATGAAAGTGAGTTATAAATTGGTACCCTTGTGGAACTTTTGTAGCATGACTCTGAATTAGCCGAATATGAACATGTTTAAATTAGAAATATAGGACTTTAAAGCTCTTTTTCGTGAATGTTAAGGGGTGGGGAGAATCTCTCCTCAAATTAAGTAATATGTGGATAGGAGTGATTGTTTTGTTTGTGGTTAAGTAGGAGAGTAGTTCCTCTGGATAAGGTGAGAGATAGGACTTATCGTTCTAAAATGAAATTCACTAGTATCAGAAGAGCAAGGACTTATCGTTCTAAAATGAAATTCACAAGTATCAGAAGAGCACTGAGCTTTTGACCTGCAAACTCCCCTTCCAGCACCATCTTCGTTGATGCCTTCTTATGATAATTTGTTTATTGAGGCTGTTTTCAAGTGTCCTACTTCCTTTCATCTGGTATAAACATTTTTGGAATTGTTTTATTGTATGTCTTGTGTGATGGCCCTATCCAAGAAAGGTCTGCTGTTTGCAAGTTGCAACGTTTTATTGGTTACATTGTTGTATGAACATGTCAATTTTCTATATCAGGACTCTACTATGGTTGGGCTGCTGATTTGATATGGATTGAATTAGGCATCTCACATACAAGAATGAGACTAAGTTTCTTCAGCATTTTGTGTGGCTCTACAAATTGCCACCTCATGTATAAAGTTTGGCATGTTTATAAAACTTTGCAGCAACCAGCCTAGGTATATCAGTGGGAAAGAAAATGCTGTTATAAGTTAGTTATATCTGATGGATGCTTTTGAGTAGTTTGAGTTTGAGTAAAGATGGCAACACTATTCATAATATGACTATATTATCTATTCAGTGTTTAGGAAGGAGTTGGAAAAACAGAGAGGGCTCATTAAAAGATACATGAAGCAGCAAGAACAAAGGAAAACTGAGCAAGCAGAGAAAGATTTAGGTAAGTTTAGGGATTATATTCTCACCTTTGCTGTCTAATACTTGTATGGATTGTATGCTCTGCCTACAATTAAAAATCTTATATAAGCAGGAAACTGATATTTTTTTAAACTCGTGATGAATTGATGACATCCTTTGCCCTTTTGACTGTCCAGCTTAATTATTGAATTACCTTTTTTTTTCCTCAAATAATAGGGATATTAGGTGGTCATACAATAAAATAAGTTGGGTTGATAGTAATATGTTTGTGCAAGCATTCGTGAAAGCTCAAAAGACGAGCTTTTTCAAGCGATTCTAAGTTAAGTTCAAGAGAAGGCATGGTGCATCGTTTGTTTGCTAATGATTGTTTCTTAGGTTGTGCTCTGGCTTTTGAGTTGTGATGTGTGTATTTCTGTAGAGGATATATAAGTAATCCTTGTCTTTCTGATGCTGGTACTTGGAGAAGCAAATTCTAACAAAATTCACTCAATTATTAAGATTATCTTTTATAGTTTCAAAAGAAGAAAAATTAAGATTATCTTTTAGGCATATGAAATTAAGATTAAGCAAATTGGTACAAAGCTTAATTGAACTAAGATTAAATTGGCTGTGTAATATGTTTCTGTGGGTTATGTTATTAAGTTGCGTTTTTAGATTCTTAGGTGAATAGGGTTCTTTTGGAGTAAAGTGGACCGTGAGGCGTGAGTGCTTTGGATTGTTGTATACTAGGTCAAGAATTTGGGTTTTGGAACCTTCAGATTAATATACAATGGAATACGAACCTTGATTATGGAACATTGTTTACTTGAGTGGATTCTTCAATTATCTAATTGAGGAAGTGCAAATGTTGTGGTGGGGGGGGGGGAAGACAAAAAGTATGAAAGTAATAGAGAGGGTGAAGCAAGTAAGACTCAAGTACGAAGAAGGGAATAAGGAAATGAAAGATAAAGGGGATAGGGAATTTGATACTGAAGATAAGAGAGAGAGAGAGAGAGAGAGAGAGAGGGGGGGGGGGATGGAGCATGTAGACTAAGATAACTAAAAATATTTAACCATAAAAGAAGAAATGGAGAGAAGAATGGTGAGCAAGAGAGTGGGGAAAAGGAAGAGAATGGAGAATGCGTAGGAGATAAGGAAAAGGGATTTAAAAAGACGGCTAGGCTAATGTAAAGATGATTTTTTGATGTCATAACAAAAAAAAAAATTAACTATTCAGACACATAACTATATAAGACAATTATGAAAGTAAAGATAAAAGAGATAGAGAGGGTGAAGCAAGTAAGACTCAAGTAAGAAGAAGGGAATTAGGAAATGAAAAAGAAAGGGGAGATAGAGAGAGAGAGCATGTAGGATTAATTTAACTAAAAATATTTAACCATAAAAGAAGAGATGGAGAGAAGAATAGGGAGCAAGAGAGTGGGGAAAAGGAAGAGAACGGGGGAACATGTAGGGGATGAGGAAGAGGGATTTAATATGGTGACCATGCGAATGTAAAGATGATAAAGAAAGATCAAAGATAGAAGTAATAAAGGAGACCGCTATAGAATAAAATATATTTTTGATGCCGTAACAAAAAATTAAATATTAAGAAGAGATTCTCAACTACACATAACTACATAAGACAAATTAGAGGAAGGATAGAAAAAAGTAGTGACATAGTGTGAAGGAGAGAGCAAGTAGGATAAGCTAAATTTTAAGACCATAATTGGAGAGTGAAAGGGAGAGAAAAATAAGGAGGAAAGAGGGTGTAGATGGGAGACCGAAAGGAGTGGAGGGTGATAGCGAAATTGTATCACTAACATGTGTTAAGAAGAAAGAAACAAAGAGCATTAGAGGAGATTAATTTAACATGATGAAAAAATAGAAAAAAGTGAAAGATTATAAAAATTCGCAAAATCATAAAAGGTTAGTGATTAAAACCATAAAAGAGAAAGGAAAATAGAGGTAGTAGGGGAAGCAAGTGGTAAGGGTAAGCTAAAATTAACACTTGCATATATGAAGGCTGAATTTTTACTTCCACCTTCCCCAAATATTGTTCTCATACGTCAAAAATCAAAAGAATTAAGAAAGGGGAGGAAAAAGTACGTAAAGCAACAAAAGATAATATAGGAAATGTTAGTACGTTGATCACACTATAAGTTCATAAAACATAATAAAGTACATGCACCGATGCGCGTGGGTGGGGGAAAATATTTAGAGAAAATATGAAAAATCTTAGGTAGTTATGTGTATGAAGGCAAAAAAAAAGGAAAGAAAAAATAAGTTAATTTGGTATTTTTATAGAGACCAAATGGAAAATAAATGAGAATATCAATTTAGGGCGCCTAAAAAGAAATATGAGAACTGTTTTTGGGGACGGAGGGATTATCATCCATTGTTAGATGAGCATCTTGAGGGAGTAGTTTCTAGGAATGGCAATGGTGAAGGGACAAAAGAAGAGGTATAGAGAGACATACAGAAAGGGGTATAGGGGGTTTGTGTAATTTTTTTTCCTTTGAATACTAGCTTACAATCTTATTTGACTTTAGTCAGTCATATACAACAACATAATCCAATAGATGAGGTGTGACATTAATTGAAATTTTAAAATCAAAAGATTTGATTCTTATTTCTTTGCTTGTATTGTGTTGTTATTCTAATTTCCTCGTATCATGGTGCAATTTTTATTTCTTTTCATTTGCTGGCACTCCTGCAGATAATTGGGAGCCATTAGTCAAAGAAGAGTGCAAAAGTCATCAATGGGCAATGGCACAACCGCACAACGCAGAAGAGGTGGTTAGACATAAGTACTTAATTGTGTTAGATTATTCACTAGATTTTTCAAACCTTTAGTGTAATATTAGGCAAAGAAGAGTGCAAAACACATGGCTTATTAGTGCTGTAATACAGAAGTTCATGGGTGAACTTTTAATCAAGCAGACAGATTATTATTCATTCAGATTGGATCATCAGATCACATGTTCTAAGCAAGGAGTTGTAACATGGTTTTGAGATGAATCAGTTGGGTACTTGGTATAGTCTAATAAAATCATGATTTGCTTCTCCTTTTGATCCATACAACAAGTTCATAATAGGAAGATAATGCCTTTTGGAAAACCTATATATAGCAGCATCGTAATCCTATGTACTTTTGTTATATAATATTCCTATATGCTGCCTGTTTGGATTATGCAGAAACAAAGGTATGTTAGTTAATGATGTAATATATCCTGTTAATTTAAGTAGAACAGTATCCAAGACTAGGGGTGTAAGATTCTTGCCATTGTATTATTTTGGTTAGCTTAAACAACTAAGTTTTTGTGTGGAATTGGATGTGCACTATTAATATTTGTATTGAACGTAAGTATCTTTTATGTATAAAAACTTTATGCTATATGATATGATGAAAACTATTATCAATCTTTTGTTAGCTTATTTTGTACAATAATGCTTTAAGTTGGTTATAATGGTTTCTAGATAAGCAACTGCACTAATATAATGCCAAATTAGATATAAGCAATGAATTTAAAAAGTATATGAAATACGATAGGATTCATTAAACTAGCAAGAAAACTCAATAATACAATTACATTATGCTTAATAAATTAACTCTTATTACTTAGCAGTTTATAAATAACATAGCAATTATCTCCATCTACAATTAAAAAATGTTCATTGTACACAGTTTGACAATGAAAAAGCTCCATTAACCCTAACCAAGACCAATAATTGAGATTAACAACAATTCAAAAGTGATTGGATATATGAATTTGTGCTATTACACATATCTTAACTTCAATATGTTCATCCTTAGTTGATTGACCAATGCCATTTATAATTTTACAATGACTGAAAGCACCCTTAAATAGTGAAATGAGACTAGTCCATAACATTTACTATACATTTAAAACAAAAAATCAGTACTCTTAAATCATGCATTTGGTTTACATTTGATTTGAATTCATAAAATAAATTAGAATTTCTTCATGCTCATTTTCCCATTTTACCTCTCTAGCTTCTGAAGATCTTACGTCAATACATTATTTAGCATCGATTATTGACAAAATTAAATGTACAGATGTACTGTAATATTACAAATAGATACAGCAAAAGCAATTTCCTCTTAATCACATCTAATTACGCAAATAATTGCGGTAAACATATACACCCTGGACTATCGCGCGCAACGCGCACGAGAGGACGACTAGTTAGTATAGATATGATTACTATCGAATCGGGTTAATAGCAAACAATTATTTACAATTTAGATCGGAAATCAGGTAAAACGCTTAAACACATGTAGCGATTTAACCCTAAAACTACTAAACCACAAACGATATCATGTGTCCATAAACAATGCAAAATCACGTCATTTAATTACAACTTTGTTCCCCTCACCCCCTTAAAAAAATTATGAAAATTGGTCTAGAACTACCCACAAGATAGGGTGATTTGTGAACAACTACCCATTTTTATTATTTGTTTAGAACTACCCGCAAGTTTGGAAAAATTTGGGTAGCATAACATTTTTCGTCCCATTAAAACGTTATTTTGGCCCAATTTTTTACTTTTTTCAATTACAACGGTCAATTAATGCTAAAATAAACAAAAACCCCAATTCAATTAAACCCCCAAACCTTAGAACTTAAAATCCCCAAATAATACTACAATCATGAACCCTAAAATAAATTATGATTAAAACCTTAATTAGGTTAATTAAGGTAAATTAAAACCTTTAGACAAATTAGGAGAGTTAATTGGGTGGCAAAAGTGAAAAAAGTGAGCTCCGATAACGTCTTAATTAGACGAAAAATGTTAATGGGTAGTGCTATCCAAATGTTTTCAAACTTGTGGGTAGTTCTAAACAAATAAAAAAACACAAATGTTTAATAACATCCGATTTACACTAAATTAGTGTAAATTGGCTCTCTAAACAGAAACAATTTTGTTTCGATCTTGATTCACACATGCCAAGCTTCATTGCCTACAAATAAAAACCAATATTTTATCTCTCTTTCTCATTCATTCATAAAGTTCTTTCTCTTTCTTCTTTCTCTCTCTTCTTTCTTCCTCAATTAGCAATTCTATCTCTATTCAACTTGGTTTATGTTTCTTCAACAACGATTATCTCTCTTCTCTTTCACTTATGAAGTTGTTATTTGCAAATTTAGGTTTGTTTACCTAATTTTATGAGATTTTTGTTTGTTTTAGTTGTTTTGATTCTTCGATTTTTAGGTTTTTTATTTTGTTTTTGTTCTTTGTTTTTTATTTGATTCTACAATGGTGAAGAAGAAGAGTACAAAGAAGTTGTCAGAAGATCAAGTTGTGTTTTATTAATTTTTTCATGATTTTTTCAAAATGTTGATTATGTTAATGCAATTGAAAAAAGGCTGCAATTGCAAAGAAAAAGAAGAAAAAGAAAGATGCTGAGGAAAGAAGAAACGTTGCAAAGGAAGCAGAAGAAGAAAAAAAAAAGGTAACTTTTATGCATGAAAAGGGTACCTTCCATGGGTAAAAGGGTAACTTTTATATATAAAAAGGGTACCTTTTGTGGGTAGAAAAGGTAACTTTTATGCACGAAAAGGGTTTTTGTGGGTAAAAAGGGTAACTTTTGTACATAAAAGGGTAACTTTTGTGGGTAAAAAGGGTAACTTTTGTGGGTAAAAAGGGTAATTTTTATACATAAAAGGGTAAATTTGTTCAATGTGCTATAATGTTGAACAATATTTCGATTACAATTTTCTCATCCCATTCTTTTATCATTGCAATTTGATGAGTAGTAGTATACATTAAATCTGGAAATATTATGCATACCAAATAATAATATTTATGTTTTCGATCAATTATAACAGAACAACTTTTAAATTTCAATTATATTTTTTTACCTCGAATGCCAAATTCTCAATATCCAAATTCGAAATCGATCTTCAAACGGTTGAATTTGATTTCAATTTTTGCATTGAGTCTAATCGCATATTGTAGACACCCAAATGTGTCTCCCCAAAACCAAACCCAGTGATGAATATCTTTCACGTCGAATCATAATTGAATGAAGTGAAAGTGTGGAAAGTTTAATGTTGCGGATAGTTTTAATTTTTTTTCTCTTCTCTCTGTTTTTGAAAACTTATTTTAAGAAAACAGTCAATCCAGATTGGTTGGTCCACGATATGGGTCCAATAGTAGAGTATTTGGATGGGGCTTGACAAGAGTTTTCCAACGATATATTATAAGCCCAATTCCGATGAATATTGAGGAAGTTATGACCAATTTACTAAACTGGGCCCGGTTTGAACTTTATATGCGGCCCAATGATCTAGGGGAGGGCCTAATATGATTTATCATTCCTAACACAATTAGGAATGGTTTTAGTCTTCTAGATTCTTCTAGAAGGTTCTTTTCATTCCAAATTCAATTAGCATTGATAAATTGACTTTTGTTGGCTTTTTAGAGTTTTAATTAAAATCAAATAGCATTTTTGAGGAAAATCTATGATTTTATCCTCCAATACGGCAAATATATCTGATTTTCAAAAACGCGTTAAAAAAAGGCCTGGCGCCTGACTCCAGGCATTGGCGCCTGGAACCAGGCTTGGCGCCTGGTGCTAGCCATTGGCGCCTGGCGCCAATAAGCTGGTGCTTGCGCCAGCTCTGTTTTGCGTGCGCCAATCTCGTTTTACGTGCGCCAAGTGCTATGTTTTGTTATTTTATCTTTTTGGCTGATTTTCTCTATAAATAACGTACTAAAAACTCCGTTTTCATTCACCAATTCTCACCTACAATCAGTTTTCATTCGCAATCATTAATTCTCTAATTCTCTCTTAATCATTCACCAATTCTCATCAAGTTTTCTTGATTATTTCATCTCTCTCTCTTTCTTTCTCTTTAACCTTGCTTTTCATATACAAAATTCCGCATTCATTGGATTTAGAAACACCTAGCCATATTCGAAGTTGTGTTCGCCCTAGACGTGAAAGGTTTAATTTCTGAGGGTTTAGTCCCAAATCTCTCTTTCAATTATTTAATTTAATTGTTGGATTATTATTTTCCTTGAAGTTACTAACATGTGTATTTTGTTATTAGAAAGAGGTACGAGGCATCAAAGTAAGTACTTTAATGGTTTTTATTGATGTTATGATGTAGAAATCATGTTTATATTGTTATTATGATATTCCTAGTATCATGTTTAGGGAAAAGGTTATAACATTAAATATGCTTATTATGATTCCTGCGATGCTTCCTATTCTCTTCCTAATATTTATGATTGTTAGTATCATGTTAGGGTTAAAGATTTGATTTTTATTGCTTAGTGACATGCTAGGGTTTGTTATTAATCTTGTTAGTATCATGCCTAGGATCTTGCTATTTGTATTATGCTTTAATATTAACATGAACATGATTATTATTATAATTGTTATAATTTATGGTGATTATGAATATTATTATTATTATTATTATTATTATTTTGATGATGATTATGTTATTTATGATGATTATTATTATGATTTGTTATGTTGCTTGATATTTTATTGCTTGATCACACCTTTTATGCATGTTTAAAGGGAATTTAGTACTTGTAATCACGCTTAATAAGATAATTAATAATCTTGTTAGGGTTAATTTGATTATAATTCAAGTGATCGCCAATAATAGATTTATTTGTGCATTAAATTCAACCAACATAGATAAACAGGTTTAGGGTTAAACCTATTGATTGCATGTTAATTAAAAAGCGCACATGAATACGATCAGAATAAAGTAGAGGCCTATTATTAGGGCAGGTTCAATCTCTTTTAGGTTGGATTTGTACCTTCATCCCCGAACCCTTATTTGGTTCTAGACCTTATGGAGTTGACGATCTCTTGGATCGTTAAGGGGTGTAACCTTCACCTTGTGAACGGTTTACAAGTTCCTAAAACTTGTTGTCGACTCTTTTGCTCTATCTTCTTCCCTTTTGGACGCCACCGTACTTTAGTGTATGATCACAGTGGGGTTCAAGCTAGGGGTTAACGCTTGAAATTTATTCCCTACAATTTTTGGCGACTCCACTGGGGAGGATTTCTATTTTA